AGGCCTCACTTTGGTTATTATTATTTTTGGTGACATTTGGGGTCTCCAGAGAAAGGTCAGCATGATTTCTGAAGAAGGATCTAACAATTCCTACAATTCTGGGTGGATTCATTAACTTAATATGTGTGATAAGGGACATACATCTTAGTGGGTAAGGATTTGAGAAAATGTCTCCAACTGACCTGACTACCTGTAGACCCAGCATAAAAGATTACTGGAAAATTTTTGGATATGTGTAGAAAAACAGAAGCATACATAAGCCTAGATTTACAACAGAAATCCATGAAGATAGTAGCTAATAATGGTAAGTGCTAACATCAGTGTGGTATAAATAAAGTAGATTAGAAAATTAAACAGAACAAATTCTTCCAAGAATGTAAGGAAAACCCCATCATGCTCAAGTCTCTAAAGTCATGGGAAAACACAGCTGACAGACATTCAGATTCACAAACGAATTGATAAATGGTGAGAGCTTAAACATGGCCTCAGATGCTAGTGGAGCAAGGTGCTAAAAGCTAAAGTGTTTATCATGACAACTTCAGTTTGTTGATCTTGGACAAAAGATGTACTGCATCAACGAACCACGTGATACACTATGAGGAATCATGGGAAGATGGGCACTGCAGACTTAGGAATCTGAGAATTGAGGATTTGTGGTTCAAAGTCAGCCTGGCGAAAGTCTAAGAGACTATTATCTCCAACTAATCACCAAAGAAAAGCTGGAAGTGGAATTGTGGCTCCAGTGGTAGAACACTAGTACCCAGGCCCTGATTCTAAGCCTGAGTACCAACACCAGACAACAAAAATAAATAATCATGGAGAAAAGAGTCTTGGGTATATCTGGATTCATTGAATACAAACAATATGAAAAAAAAAACCTTAAAATATCTAAACATAATTGAAATTGACAGTACAATTATAAAGTCATAAGTCAGAATGTGTGTTCAAGTGACAAAAATTAGATGGATCACCTGAATATATGGTTTCAGACTTCCTATCAAGAAAACTACACACACACACACACACACACACACACACATACACACACACACACACACACACACACACACACACATTATCCATATGATGTGTTGTAATAAAAATAATTTCTTCCAGGGTTTAGATTTGGAGGAACAGACAAAATTTCTAACATCCATAGCTCTGTTCTGATTCTCAACACAAATTTCTCTTTATAAATCGAAGGACATCTTTTCCCCAAAATAGCCTACTGTGTTAATCAGCATTATTCAGCTCTCTTCTGCACACATATTTTTGTAATTCAGCATTGTCCAAAAGTGATATATCTACAGCAGTAGATACATTTGCAGTTATTTTCATTAACTTTAGTGTGAGACTAATTCTGATTGTACTTAAAGTTTATAAATTTAAAAATAGTAATCCACTATCATCATTCCTAATGAAGCCTTGTGGTGTGTCAGCTCCAGCAGTGACTACTGCCACTCCTCTTACTGGCCTTCAGCTTTTCCCTCTGCCACGGCAGGCTATTGCTATGTTAATTATAATCTAACATTCTCATTAAGTCTAAGTGCATGCCTTGCCTTAAAATCTTCAATATTTAATCATGAATTTTAAAACAAAAATTCCACTGCCACGAAACTATTCTCGATATGATATTAATAAATGAGAACTATATGAGAAATAAATGAGAATGTTTTTTTCCTGCTTTGAAAAATATAAAACTAGCCAGGCACTGGTGGCTCACATCTATAATCCTAGCTGCACAGGAGGGTGCAATCTGAAAAATGTAGTTCAAAGCCAGCCTGAGCACAAAAGTCTGTGAGACTCTTATTTCCAATTAATCACAGAAAAAGCCAGAAGTGGCATTTATGGATCAAGTGGTAGATTGAGAAAAAGGATCTGAGGGACAGCACCTAGGCTGTCAGGCCCCATGACCAATAAAAACCAAAGTATATATATATGTGTGTGTGTGTGTGTGTGTGTGTGTTTGTGTGTATGTGTGTACATATATGTATGCACACACATATATACACACATAAATGTATATATGTATATGTATATATGTGTATAACACATATGTGTGTATATATGTATATATTTACTTATTATTTTATTTAATATATTATTTTATTTATATATTTAATGTATAACTAAATATGTAAATAATATATAATATTTTATGTATTATAGCATATATTATATTATATATTATATTTGATATATTTGTTATTGTATTATTAAATATATTTTATTATATATTATTCTACATATATTTAATGCACATTTATATATAACATTCATATATTAATTTATTTGAATTTTTTTTAGTCAGTCGTGGGGCCTGAACTCTGGGCCTGGGTACTGTCCCTCAGCTCTTCATCTCAAGGCTAGTGACCTACTACTTGAGCCACAGTGCCACTTTCAGCTTTTTCTGCTTATATGGTATTGAGGAATCGAACCCAGGGCTTTCTGCATGTGAGGCAAGCACTCTACCACTGAGCCACCTTCCCACCCCTGAATTAATTTATTTTTAATTTAATGTATTTAATTATGAACATGATCACTTATTATATTATCAATTTAACATTTACATATAAATATACTTGCATATACATATATAAACTGAGAGTTTCTAAATAATAATGTAATAAGAACAGGCACCAAAATGCACTCAAAATTGTAGACTATGCTCAATAACTAACTAGGATGCTTTGAGTTGCATAAATTTTAAAAAACAAACTTTTTTTCTCTTTTCTCATTCTAGTGTCTCCCCCTTTCTGATTTTCCCCATGTGAGGGAACTCAAGAATGTCTTTCAAACTTCCACCAAGTTCACCATGCTCTTCTCTTCCCATGTACCTCTTCTTAGGCTTCTCTCCTCATTCACTTGTGGACTACAGGAGTGAAAGACATTTGGGACCACAAGGAATACAATTCTAGAGATGAAAGCACATTAGAAAGTTAGGATGTAGAAGTGGTTGTAACATGTAAGTGAAGATTGCATGAGTCCTCTTGTGTACACATTGAGAACCAATGAGTCCACCCACTTAAGAAGGAACCCTTGTGGTCCTCCTGGCCCTGCAGGGGGCATTGCTTTTGTGGTTTCAGTTGGAATCCAATTTATGAGTTAAGTAGAAATAGGGAACCTAATGGAACCTAAGGGATTCATTAACCTCTGCAGTCTGTTTCTTTCTTTATTTGATGGCAAGTTTTTGGTTGTTGACATTGTTGTCAATTCTCTTTTTAAATACTTTTTTATTGTAAAAATAGTGTACAGAGGGGTTACAGTTACATGAGCAAGCATTATTACCTCCTCCTTTGTTTTTCCCCTACCATCCCTTCCTTCCCACCTCCACAATGACCCTGGGCCTAAATTGTAAAGTTCGTTTTGCAACATAGTGTCTTGTGCATCTCATTGTTACAATGGATCAACCTGTATCCCTATTTAAGCATTTTGTTTTTGTTGATTTAGAGTCTTTGTGTTTGTGTGTTGTGTTTATTATGGGAGATTCCATGTGCATTCTATCTGAAAAGCTTTTGGGGATGAATCTTGACAGAGATCATATAATGGTAAAGGATTATATGATGGTAGAGAACATAATACAACTGTAGGCTTATGATAATGAAAAGTATGAAATTTTATTGCAATATGACTGCCATAGACAGACAGACAGACAGACAGACAGACAGACAGACAGACAGACAGATAGATAGATAGATAGATAGATAGATAGATAGAGAGAGAGAGAGAGAGAGAGAGAGAGAGAGATAGTTCTCTAGCTAGCCAGCTATCTTGATGTGTGTGTGTGTGTGTGTGTGTGTGTGTGTGTGTGTGTGTGTGTGTGTGTGTGTGTGTGTGTGTGTGTGTGTGTGTGTGTGTGTAAACCAGGAGAAATGGTCTTTGAATGGAGCTTTGATTCATTATGCAATTTTTTTTTTTGCAGTTCTGGAGCTTGAACTCTGGACCTGAACATGGTCCCTGAGCTTTTGTGCTCAAGGCTAATGTTCTACCACTTTAGCAACAGTTCCATTTCCAGCTTTTTGTAGTTAATTGGAGATAAGAGTCTCTAGAGTTTTCTGCTCCGGTTGGCTTTGAACCACAGTCCTCAAATCTCAGCGTCCTGAGTTGCCAGGATTGTAGGAGTGAGATAGCAGCACTCGGCTTATTAGGTAATTTTATATTTGTAGTCTTTCTGTCAGAAAGCAAGTGAAGGGGATCAAATTCTATATGTGCAGGCATTGGTAACAGCTATACAACAAAGAATCTGAACAATCGGATGATACAATTAAATTAATTAAGCAAGGATAGTCATACCCCAGAAGAGAAAATATAAGGAAAATGTATTTGAATATAATTCATCTTTTAAAGCAGTTCTCACAGTTCTGCTCTTTCTCTGCCCAGGAGATTATTGGATGCCTCTTTCTGAAAGAATGAGAGAAACAGAGGGCCAACTGCCCTTCCCTACATATGGGTGGACACATAAGGCAAAGGCTTAGGTTGAGCCCCTATAGAATAGTGTATGAAGACCCTTCTTGGACCTTCAAATAAGCAAGGAGAACATAAGCATAAAAAATTAAACTAAAACAGCTTATAAACAAATATGTAAAATAGCAACCACTGTATGTAAGCTTGCTTCTTTCACATCACTTCCTTAGCTAGAAAAACCCTTCCATCTTTTTGGGTCAGGATATTATTGATTGCTTCTGGAAAACTAAAAAGAGCAATTTCCTGAACAATTGGGAAAAATAGGAAAGGCCTTATAGCACGCCCTTGGCAATTCTCATCTCTTTGGAGGTAGGTAAAGTCAAACCATGGATATATCACACTTGCATAAAAAATGTCCAGAGAAATCAACTCTGTCAGAATACCAACGGGAGAGCCAACCATTGGAAGTCCTGGAGTTCTATTAAAAAACACAGACACAATGTATGTTCTAATGGTTCTCACGTGCTTTTGACTTCTTTTAATTTTTTTTTCTTTTCTTGCTTCCTTCCCCCCCTCCCCCCCCCCCCCCCACACACACATTTAGGGCATTTATTCACAAGAAGGCCACACATTTTTGTTTTCTTCCTCACAAGAGACCACAAGTTATTAGTGGGTACCTTATGAACTGAAGATCTATTCTTTGGGCCCCTGCTCTGAGAACTTCCCATCCTTTTGTCTTTTTATGCTCACTACAGTATAGAAGAGTAACTTAATGGCCAATACTGCTCAAACATTGACTTCATCAACACACTCCTTGGAATCATTTGCAAAAGTTGTGTTGGATAATTAAGTGGCTCTGGACTTCTTGCTGGCACACATAAAAAAAGATTAGTCAACAACATACTTGACTCCACACATGGTCCTCATCATGACAAAATTAATGAATGTTTGTTTCCTTTCATCCAAAACTCTGACCCTATTATTTGTAAACTGGCACTTATTTCAAGGGATCAAATTTCCTGTAACAGTGAGAAATCATTTGTCCCTTAAATTAGCACAGGGTATTTCACAATTCAACTGCAAGACAATTTTTATAACCGAGTCACCAGAGCCTAAGAAGAAGTTTTGTGGTAGAATGTCACTTCTTTAATATATACACACTACTTCTTGCCATGGTAATTATTTGTGTTTATAATTTGGAGGCTCAGAAATGACTTCTGGTTCTTTATATGTCAAAATGTCTGTTAAAATGTTTTTATATCTTCTATCATATTAAGTGTTTCTCCTCCAGCTGTTTTTCATTATAAGATTTATGAGCTCAGTGGAAATGTACACCAACAAAAGTAATGTCTCTGAGGCTGGTGGTGTCATTCAGGAAACAGCTACTTCCAAAGTATCGATATTTTTCTTAAATTATTATCAAAAATAGGATATCCCTCCACTTAGATACCAGGTGGATTTGTCTTTACTTATCTTGCCTTTTGTTAGTTTCAAAGTCTTTGCTCTTCATCTTCATTGCTCTGAAAGCTCATCTGGGAGGAAAATAAGATACTTCACAAATACTTTTACATTTAAATATTCACCAATTACAAAACATTGCCCTAAATTCTTTACACTGATTAACTTATTTAATCCTCACAATTCTCTGAGACAGTTGCTATGACTATAGCATTTTTACACATTAAAAAACTGAGGTATAGCTGGATGCTGGTGACTCATGCCTATAATTGTAGCTATTCAGGAGGCTGAGATCTGAGGATCACAGTTTGAAACCAGCTTCAGCAAGAATGTCTTTGAGATTCTTATCTCCAATTAACAACCATAAAGTAAAGAAACAGAAAGTAGACCTGTGGCTCAAATGGTAGAGCACTAGCCTAGAGCACAAAAACTCAGCAATAGTGCCCAGGCCCTGAGTTCAAGCTCCTGGGTCATCAATAAAAGAAAAGTAAGATATACTTGCCTATGACATCACAATCAATGGATTGTGCAGAAAGCTCTTGGATCTATGCATCCAAATTATAGAGTCACACTCTGAGCCCTATTGTTTCCCTACCTTACATATGAGAGAAGACAGCAATGTAGACTTATTACTCTAAAATCAGAGTCTCCCACTATAAAGTATAATTTAAAGAACTGGACTTTAATTCCATGCTACTCTACATACTTTTGTTTACTTGTTTTTTTGCTTGTTTGTTGTTTTAAGAAGCACCTAAACTTTGGAGAGCTGCAACAAAAACCATAGAGATTTGGTTTACAACACCACCAGAAAGGAAATTTATAATCAAGAGCAATTTGATACTCCCAAAGGATCCATTTCTTGATTCTCTCAGAGTTATGTCACATGGCACACTTTATGATAGAGACAGTTATTACCTTATAGTACAACTTTCGAAAAGATGAACAAAGTCTATTCAGTCATTTTAAAACATAGGTTTCTGTGCTAAGAGTATATGTCTAAATACATCAAATGCCCTCTAGATAAATAACGAGATCCATTTGGATATGGTAATCACACTAAAAATTCTTTATAGTAAACATCCATGTGTTCATTTCACTAGTTAAGATTTAAAAAACTTATGAGAAGCACATCCAATAGGAATGTTTTTACCTATGAATATCTGAGCCAAATGTTCCACATGCAAACATTCTCCCATAATAGCTCCCCTGTCTTCCTACTATCTCATCTTTCCACCAGTGCAGTCTTGCATCTGGCTCCATTCTCTCCCACTGATAGAACTCTTTCTAGCTCAAGAAAAATGTAAATAAGTTCTTAAATTCTAGGAGAGCATTAATTATGCTAGGTAAGAGTCATGTCTTTGTGTTCCCCTAAAGAGTCTTTTCTACTGGGGAAATTCAAGCCTATATCCCTTGACTCAGGGAAAACAAAGATGAAAGAAAAATAGGAGTTACACAAATAGGCTCCAATAACCCAATTCTAAAAGGAACAAATACCTGAGGTGAGATTAAATGTTCCTATCTCCAGTATTGATTCTATAGGTACTGCACTGAGAATTAACAAAACAAAGCAAATATTACATTGTGTGTTGTATTCACAATTAAATTTTTCTGCTTTAAAGATCTGAGTATTCCTGCTAGGCCATAGAGCTTTACTCCCTTGAAATTATTAATGGCAGAATTCAGCACCCTAAGGCAATTCCTTTTAGTGAAAGAAGTTTAGTGGTTATAGTTAACCTATTAGCATTGATTTGTAGCAAGATGTATTAACTCAGAAACTATTTTAATCTTTAGAATTAAAATTTCTTTTTTTAAATGCAGTTGAAAATGAGAAATTAATTTTATATGAAGTTTGTGGCTCGCATTTTAATGGAAAGATTATGTATTATAAGAGAGCAAGCTACTTGCACTGTGTGTCATTTATTTAATAATTTATCTCCCTTTTTTAACCAGTGTCTATAATTGTAGACAAAACATTCCATTGTGCTATTTCCATACATGCGCATAACATATAGCATTCATCTTTGATCAAGTTCACCTCCTCTATTACTTCCTTGTCCTTCTTTTAAAATAATTTTAATGTGTTTCATTATTCTATTTTGATGCATAAGTATAAAGTATTTGAATTGAATTTGCCTCTGCCCTTCTGATGCTTTGAATAAACAGTGTGAACTGAGGATTGAGAACTGATCCATGTGTTGATATGTGCAGTCCTTTAGGCTTATAGCCCCATGATCTCAGTGGAGGCAAGAGAAGGTCTCTAGTGCATGGGAGAAGAAGTAGAATAGGCAAGGACTGCAGTTATTCTGATTCCAGTAATGTAGAGCAGAATACAAGTGTCAGCTGGACCTAGAGAAGAATGGGAAGGAAAGGAGGGATTCCAGAAATGAAACATGTAGGAGTGGGTAACAATGTTCAGTAAGAAATACACTCATTACCTTATGTATGTAACTGTAACCCCTTTGCATATCATCTTGACAATTAAATTAAATGGAAAAAAAAAAACTTACAGACTGGGGCCGGCATGGTGGCAGGTGACTGTGGTTCAAGCTACACAAGAGGCATAGATAGGAACATGACAGGCAAAAATGAAAGACTATATCCAAAAATTAACAGCAGCAGAAGAAGAGGCATGCAGCATTATTCACTAGAGCTAAGATATGCAACCAACCAGCTGCCCCTCAGTAGATGAATGGATCAAGAAAATGTGAGTTCTATATATGAGTTCTATGCCTCCATCAGAAAGAATGACACCACCCCCATTTGTTAGGAAATGGAATAACTTAGAAAAAAAACAATATTAAGTGAAGTAAGCCAGACCCAAAGAAACATAGGTCCCATGGTTTCCCTTATTTGAAATAACTAATATACATCTAGGATAATCTTACCAGACAAACAGAAAAGGTAATATATGACTATATAAGATGATACTAAGCGAAATGGGATACAAGAGCTTTTTTTCTTTGTTACTGTTCTTTTTAATGTACTACGTGATTTTTTTGTATGATCTTCCCCCATGGTATAATCCTTGTTGTCGCTGTATTTGATTCCAGTGCTCTGCATCTTGTATATGCATTTTTCTAATTTGGGGAGGGGCTAAAACAAGGACACAGCTTGATGCATTGTAACAAGGAGATGTACAAGATACTATGTTGAAAACAAACTTTACAACTTTGGGGTGGTGTGGAGGAAGGAGTTGGGGAGGTGGCGAGGGGAGACATTGTAGAGGGAAAACAAAGGAGGGGATAACAATGCTTGATAGGAAATGTACTCATCAACTTACTCATGTAACTGTAACCCCTCTGTACGGTTTCTTTACAATAAAATCATAAAATAAAATAAAAGAGAGAGAGTGGCCAGACACAGGATTACTTCTTTAAAAAATTCACTATAAACTATCCTACTTTTGAATAGGCACTGGGCAACAGGAATCAGTTTTCTACTTTTTGAGAATGTATGTGTATGAAATTTTGGTTTTAGGTAGAGAGGATATTGACAAATAACTGGGCAAGTCAACTGACTAGTTACTGACATTTTTGGAGATATCTTCAATTTTGCAACATGAATCTTACAGTGAAAATGGAAGATAGCGAGATTTCTGTTTCACTTCTAGGAAGACAGTAAAAGAAGTGTTGGCCCTTGTCTGGCCTCAGTATGTATCTGTGTGCTGGTTGATTCAATTTCCACCATCCTGTACATGCTCCTAAATGACATAGAAAGCTGAGGGAATGGGCTTTAGGATTCGATGTAAATTCCAGCAAAGGAAAACTTACGAATTTAACATATTTAACTGAATATAATGAACAATTTAACTAAGTATAATGAAAATTGCTTGTACATGTATTTTCACTCAATTATATCAATATAGCTTGCTACTGCTTGAAAATTATTTGTTTTATATACTTTATTCTTTTAAAATGTCAGCTTAAGATTTTAGGGGCAATTAAATTACAAACTACATGAAGAAATGTTAAAAAAAAAAAAAAAAAGCAAACCAAGAAAAAGGAAAAGGAAGGAAATATAAAAAAATCAAGAAAATTTGGAAATAACATAAAAATTAGAATAGTTTCTGAAACAATGCTTCAAATAGATATAGTTCTAATTGTACATAATATTCAACTAATAGTTGTGAAATACCTATTCAGTGACCATTCAAACACAATTCTAAGTAGGAATATACCAGGATTAAAAACTGCACCCCAAATCATTACTTTCAGGAAGCTTATACATGCCAGTGATAATTGCATAAATAATATGAAAACAATGTACAA